CCGCCGGCGATTTTTGAGTCTGCTTTCTTATGCATTTAACACGTACGCAGCGTCACTTGCATTAAGCATACTCGTCAACAAAACAATACAACTGAAATCTGTCAGTAAGTATATTCGTTTTCTATTAATTTGCCAATAATTCATGTATCACCCATTTATTATAAATTAGTTAAATTATTATTAATTTATTACTTATTCATTATGATTAACTTATCATTGATTTATCACAGATTAAAATTCATTACAAATATACATATAATGTCACAGATATAATCATATTTCATATACATGGAATTTTAATTTCTCTACTCATGCATTACAAAATCTATCGCAATTTCCTATAAATATCGTAGTATTCTAAATTTTCTAAAATAAATATTCGTTTCAGCACTGAACAAAGAACTGTTGGACGTTTACTTTACATCGTACGATCTGAGGCGTTTACTAATGTACAGTAACAATATGACGGATTATCATTTAATCACGGATTTATTGCCCGCGTTAGGTCGCCTATACTTCTTAAATATGATGGGCGATACTCATTTCTCTGCAGCGCAATCGGTAGGTTATTTTGAAAATTTTGCAATATCTTCACTTTGTAAAAAAAAAAAAAAACGCTATTTTATGTGATTCTGAGTACATGAAAATTTTCAGGCAATCCTGTTAGGCTTGGGTTTGCAACACAAAACTGTCGACAAGCTGGCAGAAGAGTTGCATTTACCCTCTCCACAGTTGCTCGGTCTATTCAATCGTACTGTACGTAAGTCAACGCAGTACTTGCATAGCATCGCAGAACAACACTTGGAAAACACTATGATGACCAAAAAATCATCGGTGAACGGACAAGTAAAAGTGGATCCTTCAGGTGCACAGAATCTGCATGAAGAATTAGAGAGCGCAGCTAAGGTTTGTTTATCGTGTTTTCATGAGAATTCTCGTTTGTAATACGGGTTGAAAATAATATTAAATACATTGCAGGAATTGAAGATCAAACAAAAAGGAGAATTAGAGAAATTAAAGAAAGAAAATCTGGCGCAGTACGCTATTAAGGGCTCGGAGGCGGAGTGGACCAGCACGTTATCTGGTAAACAGAGTAAAAATCTCGTTTCTATCAAGACCGGTGAGAAAAGGCCGACCGAAGCCAGCGTATACGAGAAAAAATCTAAGAAGAAGAAAAAGAGGTTTTCTTCAAATATATAACTCCTTGTTTGAATCTGCAATATTTGAAGAAGATACCGAAGATTTCTATAATTTTTAAATAAATATATTTTATATATCATATTTATATAAATCGTCCTGTATTTAAAAGAAAACGAATAAATATCAAAAATTAAAAAGGAAAGTTGATTCCGATCCAGACTTTGATACCTGACTTTACATCTCATACAATTATTGAAGATGATTTCTCGCGAATTTTGTATTTTTAAATACCAGTTAATTCATTATGATTCGTTTGGTTTAGCTTTATCCTTAATCATTATTATATTCTAAATTAGGGTCAATCAAAAGAAATTTGTTATCTACAATATATTAGATGGTTGCAAATGAAACCGTCCATTTTTGAGTGAAAGAAAAAATAATAGTTTGGTTGCAAATCGACGAACTGGTTTACTCAAAGTATTGCCCATCGGCACAGACAACCTTGGCCCATCTTTCGGGCAACAATCGGATTCCACGCAGGAAGAATTCGGGTTCTCTGGGTTGTTACGGGAAACGAATCCTTTTAATTGTTCTACGAGCGTAGACTTTGTAACTTCATAACTGAAATGTTGACCGTCGTAATGCGAGGGTACGGTGTAAAACTTTTCTGACACTGCAGAAAGACGTTATATATGTAATTTTTAACCATCGCACAACTTTTAACGTAGAAAATTAATTTTTCATTTATCCTATCGATTTTCAAGATAACATCGAAAGGTAGCTTCTCGTCGTCCGTATTCAATTTTATGACACAAGTCGATTCGTATATGGTCCAAAAGTCGTGGAGATTCCACACAGATGTGAAAGTTTTCGTCTCCACCTCTGTGCGGCAATAAGTGTAAAGAGAATACTTTTCATCTTCCCAAAGACATCTCCTCTACTTCTGATGCCATGATTATTCAATGTGCCCTGTAATATATCGTTTACACAATAACATATCCTATACGATGTTACTTAATTATATGTTGTTTATATAAAATATCCGTTGCAAAGAAAGCAATATGCGCATGCATATTTCTGGAAACCTTAAGAGATCCTTGCATAAACAAAATGAAATAAAGTTAATCTGATATATTTCAATAACAAGTTAATAGAATTTTTTCTAGATAATAAAAACTTTTATGCTAAAAAACGGCCCACTGAAATTTGGTATTATTTTAATACAGGGAATGTGTGCTAAAAAGTACACAAATATAAATGTTAAATTGATACATTCACCTCAACATGTGTTAATAACATATGTTTGTGTACTTTTTAATAGATTCTCCATATTAAAGGATTCTTCATAATAAAGTAACAAAATTTCAATGAACTATTTTTAACAAAAAATTTTTTACAGATATTTAAAAAAATATAAAAATTAATACGAATTGACGCGTAACACGCGCACAAAAAGTGCCAATTTTACAAGCAAATTATGATTTTTAATCATCGAGCAGAAAATGTTAATTTATCTATTGTTTAATATTTAATGGATTTACGTCCGACTTTACGATCATCAAACTATAACATCATTGAGCTTAATTAATTGCCATTCAATAAGAAAAAATTAATTATCTACTTCTGTCCTTTTTAGCACGATGCTATAAAGACAATAGTAATAACGTTTTATTTTCATCATTGTTAATTTGAATATTCAGAATAAGAAGGCATTATATACGTGTACATTACACGTAACATGTGTTTACTTTGAAATTACCTCATGACACGGTGATCATGCACGAACATCTATTATTTGTCTATTTCCGACAACTTCAAAATATCTGTTAGTAACTTTGCAAGGACACGAGAAACTTGACTATGTTTACATGTAATTTTTACCAGAGATTTCTAGAATTATAAAGACGATGGTTTTTATGGAAAGTTTGTTTTATGGAAATTTAATAACAAGGTTTTAAATAGATTTTGTCAAAATTAGTCACGGCGCGAACTTCGTGTTTAGAATAATGAAAGTCCTACTTACGGATTGCTGAAGTGACGAGAATCATTTATCAACGTGCGCTTCGCCGTTAACCGGTTCTTTTTAAACGATAGATTTGGTGCTAAAAGAGAAACCGCTTAAGTTTCATAGAGAATGCACATATATATATACAGAAGAGTACAAAAATACTTACAGATTCAATGTCAGTTGGTTTCGTAAACTTCGTTTTTCATCATTTTCGTTGCGCTGATATGACCGAATCATACCTTGCTGTTTCGCTGTGTGATCTCGTGTCAACGTTGTTAGGAAGTGCCGATCCTCCCCATTGTAGGTTCATCCTACGTGTGCGTCGTCCTTTTCAGCAGAGCGCTCTAATGGAGAGTTTCCAAACTTACACAATACAACTGTCCGTTTCAATGAACTCCGATTGGTTGCTCGAAGTTTAAATGATTAAAAATCGATCTTTCGGCTTTTCGATAAGATTAGTTTAAAAGATCAACTGTAACGTGCTCTTGTGAATTTTGTAAATTATTACACCTTTTACATCAATACTACATCTACGTTATTTCGCATAGTTATTTCTTTCTTACGAAAATTTGATCAATATAACGTCAAATTGACAACATTTTGATTATTCTGTTCTCTTTGGGAGGCACTAAAGAAATAAAGAATTGTTTGTTTATAAAAGTTTGCAAATGACCATCGCAGATCTGAATATAGTATGCCGAGATCTTTTAAAACATGCAGTCATACTTAAAAATCGCATCTGAGGCTTTAGCCACAAAAATTTGGCTGTTTCGCTCCACAGTCGCGTTCGGATTTCGTGGCAGCGGCAGCCATTTGGGCGCGCGCGCATGCGCAGCCGGCCGTCGCCGCTGCGCGCGGTAGTAGGGAGTCTCGTACGAGCGGCTGCGAGCTCGGGCGGTGCAGATGCTGCATAAGTCTCGTCCGGCGTGTGCGGTGCGGGTGAAGCTGTGTTCGTCGGAGCGTAGTACGGCGTGCCACGGAACCGTCGACGCAGCCAGGGTCGCGTGCGCGCCCATTCGTGAGAATTCGTGCCCGGCGCGATGGACGACGACCGCCCGGCGGTACCTGTTGCGCGAGCCGACCCGGTCCGGTTCGCGTCGCGTGTCCACCACCGGTGCGCCGCCTCCTCCTAAGAAGAAGGAGTCCTCTCCGCCGGCTACCGCGAGGAAGTGCGTGCGGGCGATGCACCGTCGCGTCCGTCGCTGTTGACGTTTCCCCGTGGTAGACGACGACGCGAGTGTGTGTGTGTGTGTGTGCGTGTGTGTGCGCGCGCGCGCTCGCCCGCCAACGCGTCGCCGACGGCGCCGCGTCTTCCTCGCTGTTCGCGAGTTTCCGTTCCGCGAGTGCTGCGAAGACGCAACCAGCGAGGAGAACTCGGCGGATTCCCCGAGGAAGCGACAATAGTCGGCCGACGGAGAGCGAGAAGGAGAAACACGCGCGCCAACGGAGAGGTAGAACGTGTGAGAGAGAAAGAGAGAGCGAGCGAGCGAAAGAGTGAGAGGGAAAGAGGAAAAAAGAGAACAAAACGGAGCTATGGGCATCGTGCAGAGCAGCCGCAGCGGCGAGAGCGATGGCGGTGTGCGCGAGGTATTCGTCGGCGGTGTCAAGGCCGGCGTGCCTCATCACTCGTGTCAACCCAGCCTGGGTATGGGCAGCCTGGGCGGACCGCACGCACGCAGCGGCAGCGTACGCAGCGCGCCGAGACAACCGATGCCGGATACCGTCGAGCTCGAGAGACGCTTCACCAAAGTGCTGGTGAGTAACACGCTTCTTCTTCCTCCGCACCGCGGTTGTAGCAGACGATGCGGTCGGCTCGCGCTCTGTGTCGCCGAACGCACGGTGCCCGAGGTGTACCACTCGCAGCCGTGATCGAAAATTAGGGTTCACGACTGGGTGAAACACGTGGTCGGGTTTTTCCTCCGTCTTCCTGGCGCACCGGGTGATGTCACGCGTACAAGCCGCGTCGGAGGGCTGATTCGAACATGTGAAGTTGAGTCTGTTCTTTATAGCTGAACCGGATTGCACTTCAGGTCCGTATTCTGAACTCTCTTTTATCGATAAAAGCGCCTTAAACGTGGCAGCCGATCAGGTAATTCCTAAGCCACTTTTAGAGGCATTTTTTCTCATCGATAAAAATGAGCTCAGAATATGGATCTTAACCTTAGAGTGGCAGGAATGTGCAACCGAGCGTTGACAAGATCAGCTATTAGGTCTGTCGGTTAACCAAACTGGGTTGCACTTTTTCCACTTGAGAGAGAAACAAGTGCATGACCGAGCGTTGGAAACTTGTGTTAAAGCAGCACAAAGTTTCACTGGGTCATTTTTGACAGAAAATTTTTCACCGTGCGATTGCGAGCACCCGTCCCGGTACGGCAGGCTGTATGTATTATTGTCGTTTCGTTTATAATTTTGTGGTACGGCCAACTACACCGGAACGGATCCTTGCAACTGCATCTGGCAGTCACAGAGACATCGCAGAATAGCCTGAACAGCTCGCGAGCGCGATCCTGCGGCGAATCTCTTCGCGTCTCTGGATCTCGCCGGAGTCGTTCGGGTGGAAAAACGCGACATGTTTGCGCTCTACGGATTTAAATGCACGCGCGTGTTGTCGTTGGTAGGACGCGTCGCGCTCACTTCAATGAGAAGCGAGTGACTCGGCCTCGGATTGTCGACTGGAGGTGAGATTCATCGCGGAATGGTGATTCTCCGTCGCGCGCGCGACTTGTCGCGGAAAGTAGGTTCAAAAAGAGTTGTCAGCTGCGTCGGATTGATGTACACCTCGCTTTTTGTTTTCAATCAAAATATTCCTGCGCGCGATGCACGGATAACACCGCCACAGCGCGAGGATTCGCTGTGTTTACGTTCGAGTATAGTCAACGTCATGCGTGCCGTGCCATTTCTTAGACTGAAAGTTACACGATTTTCAGTCTTACAAATATGCAAATAAAATTAAAACCGTTATAATCAGAAATGTTATAATTTTTAGAGTTACTTATTCGCGATGTTGAACCTTGCAGGTTCTAATGCGAAAAATCGTGTGATTTCCCGTCCAGAGAATGATGAAGCATACACTACGCCGATTGTACGTTTTGATCTCTTTTGCTCGTTCTATCAACTCCTCGGCGGCGTTGCGCTTGCAGTTAATCTAATTTGAATACCACATGTGTCACAGATTCGTAAGATTCGAGCCATGTGAACGCTGCGCTAATAGTGCGCACGGTAATACATAATAATACAGCGTGATATATGGAGTTCATATGAAAGTTTATCCCTATTTCTAATCGCTCAGTTTTTGCTCAGAAATCCCAGAGTCTTTACGAATCTTACAGAAGCGCGAGATCGTTTAATTACGAGAGATCACGATAGGACATCGAACAAAACGACGCATATTTAATTGACCGATCGTGTACGATCGAGCTTCGACGTTCAGATTTGAGAGACGCGATTGAAAGATACCTTCGATAAATCCCGAGTTGCATGTTCTCGTAAAAGAACCTTTGAACTTGTGCGCGTCGTGCACATGACGAACACTGTCAGCGGCGTGCGGCGACCGTGGTCGTTCGCTCGGAGCCTCTCGAAAATTCACGTCACATCCTTCCGCTTCTCGGCCGGCGATATTTTTACTCACGAATGAAAATAGCCCCGAGGGCCGCCCGCCCACAATCGCTGTCGATTGTTGCTTGCTTCGACGCTCGAATATTTGCGATGACTAATTAACTCGCGCATCCGGTGCGCATCTTGTCGAGCGGACGAGCCGTATCGTGACGACGCGTCATCGTCGGCCCTTCGCGATTCACGGCCTCATCATTGTTATTCCTTCGGTCGAGACGCGAGAGAAATCGGACTGTCCGGAGAGACACGGCTCTGACGTTACGTCGACGCAATGATCATCGGTCGTTGTGAATATTATCGCGAATGAATGTGTATAATATAATATATAGGATAAGGCAATAAATAATGGAACGTTTGGATATTAGATATATATTTATATATATTAAATTCTTTATTTTTATTACCGCAAACAGCAATCTGCCCTTATTTGCCTTGCTCTTTTCGTTCGTTAACATATTTGTATTTTTCCAAGATATTCAAAGCGGTGATACTTACTGCCTCATTCCGCATAAAATATATATCGCGGATGAGTAAATAACATTTTTTTAATTTAAATGAAAAAGGACCTCGATTGATTGTCTTGTTTGCGAGAACGAAGTATATGTATTACATATGCGGGCTCGATGAAGATTTCTTCTTCGGCTGGCGGGATTCGTATGAATTTTGGCGCACCTGCGCGTCAAGCGCGTGTGCAAGCGCGATTTTAATTTAATTTCTTCCGTCGACTGTCAAAACACGGTGGCGTGCCCGTCGAACGAGATCGAGATAAGACACCCTCGCATGACCGGTAATTCTCTTATCCCTTCCGATGTTGGCACGGCAAGCCCGTCGACAAATATTGACGAACTGTCAGGACTGCTCCACGAATATCGACCGGACGATTTAATCGAGAGATGCTAATATCCTCTGTGAAATACATTATTCGTTCACATGACATTATCGTCGATAAATATCGCCGGCGCCGAGCCGACATCTCTCGCAATATTGACAAAGTTTGGTGAGATTAATGCAGCAATTTGCCTCGTCCAATCTCGGCACAGTTAAGAGTACTATGCGGGAATGTTACATCCGACCTCATCATAAAGACAATTTTTTAGCACAATTAACATGTAAATTAAGAAACGAACTGTTTTTTTTTTTTAACAAAAATAAATTTCCAGAAAATTCGTTTCCAATAACAAATAATAAGCGATAAAGTTGGACGTGTTTGAAATTTACATAAGGAATTTTAAATAGAGTTAACAAATTATGTAAGCTTTTATATTTTGTTCTGATTAAAAAATAACACGATCAGCGTGCAATTGACGACAAATCGCCGTGCAATTGCGGCACGAAAAACGTTTTAAAAACTTTGCAGGAAGCAAGATACAACCATTTTAGTCGGTTAATATCCCCCGAATATTTTTTCCACGAAGAGCTCGTTCAGAAAACGCGACCTCGCAAGACGAATTCGACGTCGTTCCCTTGCGGCGAGCTTCGTAATTGTGAATAATAAAAAAAAATCGCGTCCTTTCGGCTGAGAGAGGCGGGACGGAGGGAGGCAGTTGCAGTAACGAGATACCGGTGAGCGTCGGCCGCGTTCATTTCATCGCGTGCGAACTTTACGTTCAATTTGGACACGCGGCTGCGGCCTGAGTGAGAGGTGCATCAAGCGTGGTTCTCGCATTTTGCGTCCTGCCGGCGCAGCGTGCCGGCGACGTGAGAGGGCACGATCGTATTTATCTTCACCGCCCCGAGGTGTAACGTAAGTAACAAGCCGATCGGTATCAACACGTGTGGCCTGTAACTTATAGTGGCTAATATCTGAACTCGAGTGAACTCGGGTCGCGCGCCCAGTGGTTGTCCGTGACTCGAGAGCGTGGCGTTCGCCGTTGCGTACTTGCGTTGTATTTCATTGCGTGCTAAGGGACGCCTCTTTCGCGATCGACGCGCCCCGTACGTCTGCAGTCGCATATACATTCAGCGCTATAAACCGAGACCTTTCCTGTTTCTCGATTTGACGTATGAGTTCATTGTGTGGTAAGTCCTTAGCCTTTTGCTCCGAGCGTTAAAGTGCGGCACGTAATTTCTAGAGCGAGGTTTCTAGCGCTACCAAACGTCGTAGTTGTCAAGATTGAAGTGTTTTATCGCGATTTTCGGCAGCGTGGGAGAGGTTTTCGCCGGAAACGGTTACATTTTATTGCTTAGAGCAAAAGAGATTTAGGCCTGTTTCACAATTAGTGCGGTAAGCCTTTTGCTCCAAACTGTGACTCTTCTGGCAAAAGGCGTCCCCCGCGTTACCAAAAGTCCTAGTAACTCTCGAAGCTTAGGGATTACGACGTCAGGTAGCGTGGAAAACACCTTTTGCCAGAAATTGAGTCACAGTTCGGAGCAAAAGGCTAAAGGCTTCTTACACCCATTGTGGATCGTGCCTTACACGCGACCTTCGTGCCGCGGGACAAGCGAAGCTTAGAATCGGAGCGCGATCGGAGATCGTGGAGGCGCTCGTCGGAGATTGAGATTTCAGATCAAAATGCCGCGAATAGCCTGCACCGAGAAAAGCATATGGCATCTGTTACTACAGTTACGTGATGAAGTATCAAGTTGCTTCGAAAGTCTTCTCACATAAATACTGAACAAGCAATAATACGAGCCAAATGATTTTCACGTAAAAATATGCAGACAAAAAGGTGAAGACAATACTGACAGAGAACATGAAGAGAGAGAGCTCGTTGTCAGCTCAGTTGAGAGATATATCGTGCTGTTATTATGAATAGCAAGGAGTGTCTATTGTCCCTTCGTGTATAACAACGAACACGATAATTGTGCAACATATATAATGCCATAAAGCCCAATTATTCAATATTTGCGATGCTCCCCGGATCATTCGTGCATAGTATTCGAAATTAAATAGTGACGCCGGATTATTAATAAATCGCTCGCTCTCTCTTTTGCGTCTCCTTTTCTCTCGTAGAACGAAATGTCGGGAGGTCGAAAGCGAGAGAATCCGTGCACCCCGGGAGAAGATCGAGAGAAAGGAGGAAGAGAGAGAGAGAGAGAGAGAAAGAAAGAAAGAAAGAAAAAGAGAAAGATGGATACTGAGATGGAGGAGAGGACACGCGGCGCCGCCTACGAACAGCGGCTCTCACCAAATAAGATTCGAT